CAGTCAGTCTGCCAAATATGGCCCAATCTGGACGACCTTGACCTTTCCTAAAAAACAGCCCCACTAAAGCTTTAAACTCACTTTAAAGATACATAGGAGAAAAACAACTTTAACTTTAATATTGTAATTAATGTAAATCTTACAAAATATGTTTATTTACCGTGGTATGAGTGTGTTGTGTCCTCCCGGATCCAGAGGGTTGATGTCACAGTTGGTGTAATCAAAGGTGCCGTTCCACAGATGCTTGGCCAGCTGAAACGCCACCTTCCTCTGTGCCAGCGTGACCTCTTTACCATGCCAGACATACACTTCACTCCCGAAATCAAACACTATAACCTATTTAGGAAAATATAACCAAGAAAAGACAAATATCAACATGATTCATATTTATTCTGTTCAAAAGCTAATCAAATGTTTGGGGTCAGTACATTTTTAAAAAAAAGGAAAGGAAAGGGAAAAAAAGGGAAAAAAAGAAAAGAAAAACAACAAAAGGAAAGAAGAAAAAGATGACACAAAGAAACAAAAAAGACAAAATAAGGGAATAAAAGAATAGAACAAAAAAAGACCAAAACGAAACAAAAAAGAAAGAAAAGAAAAAGATACAAAAGGACAAAACAAAACAGACCAAAACAAAAAAGAAAAAGATAACAAACAAACAAAAAAACAAAAAAAAAAAAAGAGAAATAAAGGACAAAAAAACAGACCAAAAGAAAACCAAAAAGGAAGGAAAAGAAAAGAAAAAAAGAAATACAAAAACAAAAAACAAAACAAAGCAATAAAGGAAATACAAGGAAAAAATAAAGCAAAAAACTAGGGAAAAAACTAAACAAACAAAACAGAAAAGAAAGAAAAAGAAAAGAAAAAAATAACAACAGAAAAAAAGCAAAGAAAGGAAAAGAAAAGGATAAAAAGGGTAAAAAGAAAGAAGAAATATATATAAAAAAGACCAAAACAAAACAACAACAAAAACAGAAATAACTAAACAAGAAAAGAAAAGGGAAAAAGGGGAAAAAGAAAAGAAAAAAAACTAAATACAATCTGAATGGGTTAAAGTACACTGTTAATAAATATTAATAAAAAATATGCAAAATAAAGCAGTGTAAAAATAGGTGTGATTAATTTTAAATTCACCCATTATATATTCTAAACATCAATAAGCAACAGAGCTACAAAATTCCAATATTATTTGACTTAAAAATTTAACCAAGGTATTACATATTTGAGTATTTCAATTAATTTAAAATATTTTGTGTCAAATGTCAATCAAAATATACGCAAACAAAAATGTGGAAGAAAATAATTGTTGAAAATAAAGAAGTGTTAACACTGTTGTTCAGCTTTGCATATTTCATTACAATAAACATATTGGAAGACAAGTATAAGTGCCTTTGATAATGTGCTAAATTCACCTATTTATACAAAATTAATTATGAAATACAGTAACATAATATTAGTGAGCATAAAATTAGTAGAATAGTAAACTATTTCACATTTAACCAGTGTCTAAACAAACAAACAAAATATCAGCTGAAAATATAAGTAAAATAAATATTCTTGTTGATATTATTAAAAATAATAATTATTATTATTATTGTTAATATTAATAAATATAATTAATAATTTCATATTTAAATGGTCAATTTAATGTATTTTTTATTATTAAACATTTTTGTTAATAGTAATATTATTTTATAATTACAAAAAAATACATTAAAATTGACAATTAGAGTAAGAAATTATTTAAGTGAAATCTTAGCTATCCCCTAGTGATAAAAAAATACAAAGAATATTCTATTCCAACTCTTTCAATGCAACATTTATGATGAATGCTTTAAAATGCCATCTTGTTTTCTGACCTCTTTAGAGCCCAGAAGTGTACTACGGGGAACTTTCCCCCAGAAGTCATCATCAGGAAGCAGTCTATCGTCCACCAGACGGAAGATGCAGTTGGTCTCCACAATGGCACTCTCAAACAACTCATCCTCATCTAAAGACCCGGCCGCTGAAAATCAACATAACCATACAAATCAAAAAATCTATTTCAATTCAAATAACAGCAGATAACTGCTACAGTAGTCAACATCTGACGTGGGTCATCAACTTTCATCAGAGTTGTCCTAAATCTATTGAAGATCCCCCATTGTTGTCCTAGGACAATTTTGAAAAACATTTTTGATTCATTTTGAATGTTGACTACTGTATTATGGTTTAAAGAGAAGTACGTTGGTAGCTGGCGGGTCCTCCGATGATCTTCCAGAACTCTGTGGCTGCGGGACTTTGTGCGTTTACTCCTTCTTCAATGGTCTCCACAAACGCAGCTCGACAACCCAGATCATGGTTCAGCTGGATAAAAGTGGCCAGTTCTGAAGCCTGCATGTTGAATTACAAATACATCAATCATCAATATGATTACTGCGTATGATACCGGCCCAATATCTCAACATCAGATTAGCCCTTGTGTGTTGTTAGGAATATTTTACGTATATTCTAGCGACTTAAAAAGCGCACAACACTTTTTTTTCTTGTCAACAAAAAAGTGCGGTGCGACTTGCGTTTTTAAAACAGAAAAAAAAATGCATTGAGTGTGTTCGACCCCTTATTCATTCAAATGAATCATTGATGGCTGATTGGATGAATCTGTTGGCTGTTAAATCTGATTGGCTACTAACAGTGGATGAGGAAAAAAGTAAGCAACGAAACCAAGCGAATCAAGAGCATTACAAAGAAGCCAGCAGTCATTTTGTTGCATTTCTTAAATATTTACAAATGATATCAGATCGATGGCCACAGTGGGACACCATTAATGGACAAATCAATGGACCAACAGACCACACTGTAAGGCATCGAAAATGTTACTTTGGTCATTAGCCCCTTTCACACATACAGACCTTTCCGGAAAATTACTGGCAATTTTCCGGAAAGGGTTTATGTGTGAATGAGGTGGATTTTATACTTTTTAAAGTGTGAAGTTACTCTATATATTCAAATTATATGTGTATAATCTGCTTGTAGACTTGCATACCATTAAAACAATTAAAGTGTTATGTAGAGTTAGAAAGGGGAAATGGCCTGAGGAAACAACTAAGGGTCATAAAAAAGGGATGAAAAGAGAGTGGTAAAAAAGCCTGAGGTGTCTCAAAAAACAGATGTCAGAGGTGGAATTTGGGGTCAGGGGTTAAACTAGGAGGGATCTTGTGTAATATATGGAGAACAAAGGAAAACAACGGATGTAAAAGGGTATTTAAATAAGGCCAGAACAGGAGTGAGGCAGAATTTTTCAGACAGAGATGCTACTGGGGGTCTCCTGAAAGTTCTCCTTTGTTGTCGACAATAAAGTATATTCTTCTGATATTCATAACCTCCAGACTGAGTTTGATTTAGTAAGAGAAAAACGAAAAAAAAAACACTACATTAACAGGTCCTTTTCGAAAATACCGGTAAATTCGTTCTGGCTATTTTCCGGAAAGAGAAGTTGTAACATTACCAGTAATTTGCTGGAATGCTGCGCTGTGTGAATGCAGAAGGAAGATTGCCGGAAAGATTGAGTGCACGTCTAGAACGTGCTGACGTGAAATGCCTGCTTTAGCCAATCAGAACAGTCAGAAGCATTCACGTCCGCGCGGTTTATGCGAATAAAAGCCTTTGAATATTTTCCCAGACGCATTAAGCTGCTAGAAGTTAGTCAGATAACGTTTATATGTTCATCTTAATGCCAACTGTGTAAATAATCATCGATAAGATGCTTATGATAAGCCGCTGTTTGTTTACCTTCAAGCTTTGCGTGTGCCCGTGAAACAGCCGTGAACACCAGCACACACATGAACATCTCGACATGCGAAAGTGATCCTCCATATGTTTTCATCGAAGTTGTTCACAATACTGATCATCCACAGAGTTTGTGATGTAGTCAAATGTTTACAAATACAAGCGCAGCCGTTTAAAGCTCATTTGTGGTGAATGATGTCAGAATTTACCGGTATTTTGGAATGGATGTGGGAACGGTCTTTTTTGGGAAAATTCCATAACGTCCTCGCCTGTGTGAACAGCGCTTTTTTGAATTTACCGGTAAAGTCTTTCCGGAAATTTTCCAGATATTTACCGGTATCACTGTGTGAAAGGGGCTATTGTAAAATCATGCACAATACCTTGGCTTTTTCAATGACATTTGCAAACTCCCCAATCCAAACGAAACAATGCTCAGGCGTAACCAGAAGAAAACAGTCCCCGCTGTTCAGAGAGGACACTCGCGGCTCCACTAGTCTGGTCTGGACATGCCGTCGACCTGGATTAAAAAAAAAGAGCCACTGCTGCAGTAAAATAATGTCTATTTGAATCCAATTGTGTAACTCTTGTTCATATTAGACTGTATTTTAATCATTTTTATTTTTATATCTCCACTGAAAGGGGAAGTGTCCGTTAAACAAATAAGAAAACATTTATTTTTTGACCAAATGCATTTCGCAGTGGGTGGAAATTTTCTGCTTAATTTGATACAAATCTCTCTCCATGAATGGTTTTAGCACATTGAGCCAGGTTAGCAGACAGTGTAAAAGACTGACCTTTGACCTGCATGAGCATGAGTTTTTTGTATGGTGCTGCGCTGTTATTGGTCATCTGCTCTGAGATGCTGACGCTGCGCAGACTCACACTGCTGTAACTCTCTTTACTGGCCAGACCCGCCAGAGCTGCATCTGACAAACTGGAGCTCTTGCTCACTGGAAAACACACAGAAAATGAAAATGAATTGCATAAGTGGCTTCTGCTTTACATTTTTTTTGTTATATTTTGACTTATGATATATTTTTATGTGTGCTGCATGCTGGCTGCAAGCTATTTGTAATTCACCTTATGAAAATATTTTATATTATGTAAACATATTAATATATGTAAAGCCTTTATTTTTTTGTATTTTTGTATTTGTATTTTTGTAATATATGTAAAGCCTTCTTTCGATTTTTTGACTAGCTAAATACAAGTTACAATCTGTCTTTCTTTTGTTCCTCTCATGCTGAAACTGCCACTTTCACATTTTATAGATCAAATATAAAATACATTTTAAAATACAGTATTTATGTATAATTAAACCGGTGTTACTTTAGTTTCCCTGAGTAACTAATGTAGTTTTTGATTATAGTTTAAATCAGTTATTTTCATACTTTAGTTTTTATTTTATGTGTATAAACACTTTTTATTTAATCTTTTCCGCTTGGTAACTAGCTGAATTATTATAAGTAAATAATAATAATAATAATAATAATTATTATTATTATTATTATTATTATTATTATTATTATTATTGTTGTATAAGTCTTTCGTTTTCTTGTCGGCTTAGTCCCTTTATTAATCCGGGGTCGCCACAGCGGAATGAACCACTAACTTATCCAGCAAGTTTTTACACAGCAGATGCCCTTCCAGCCGCAACCCATCTCTGGGAAACTTGTATAAGTCATAATAATAATAATAAATAAATAAAAAATAAATAAATAATAATAATAATAATAATAATAATAATAATAATTGTTGTTGTTGTTACCATTATTATTATTAATTATATTATTATTATAACTATTATTTATTTTTATTATAATTATTATTATGTTTATTATTTTTATTATTATTATTATTGTCAACATTTAAAGTAACAAAATTATTGTATTTTTATTTCAGTTTCCATTAAACATTTGCATTTCATTATAGTTCAGCTCCATTTCAATTGCCAAAAATGTACAATTTGATAATTTTAATCAACAACAACAACAACAACAACAACAACAACAACAACAACAACACTGAACTGAAGCACATTTGCATCCAGTGCTCGTTGACCCACTTTTCTCCTGTTTAATTCTCTTGCTCTCCAGCTGGCCGACGTTCAGCCTCTGCTCTGTATACTCCTGGCGAATGTCATCTCTCGCAGCCAGAATCTTTAAGGGGTTCCTGGAGGCCTGGACATTTCGAGAAGGACGAACGGCTCGCTTGTGCTGCACCATCGCTGAGGTCAACCTGAAATCAAATGAGACATCAAGACAAAGTATAAGAAACAGCCAGAAGATTACAAGATCTTGGCTGGTTTAGGATCTATTTCTTAAAAAAAAAAAAAAAACATAATAAGGAGGGAAATATTGAAGAATATCCTTTTTCTAATTAACTGTTGATAAAAAAATATAGGGTCACAAGAGACTAGAATGTATGCAATAGTTTAAGTACACTGTTTTTTTTTCTCTGTAGAAGCTTTAAATTAAAGTTTAGAGCTTAATACTTTAACACTAGAACCGCCATAGGTTGCTGTATACCTATTAAAAAATAAAAAATAAATAAAAATAAAAATAAATAATCGCCAGTGCAGGTAAATTTTACCCGGCACAAATTTTGTTTACAAATTGCTAAAAAACAAACTTTCACTGTTTTTCGCCACTGTTAACAAAAAGAGCCTAGACTCATGAAATTATTATTTCAGAATGACAAGATTATTTTAGGAGTATATTATGAGTAGGTTAAAATATCTAAATTTGAGCCGTCATACTCTGATGCGTGATTTATTTCTCCAGACTCTCCATCATTCATTGCAGTTTGTGTTTTTAATAGCTCTACAAATTGCCTTCTTTTAGTCATTGTGACTTTATTCATTTATTATAACCACTAATTCAGTGAGTGAAATTGAAAGTAAAAGTCATTGGTGAATAATTTCAAACATAAGCAGTGCATAAATAAAAAATTTCAATGAAAAAAAGTCAATGATTGGGAGGCTTGAATGCTTTATTGAAGGTCTGTTATGTGCATTTGAATAACAGTGATGGGTAAAATTCACCCTATGGCGGTTTAAGTATTAAAAGTCACTCACAATGGCTCAAACCATCTACATTATAATATAGATTATAAAACAGCTATTATTAAACATAACGCTAACACTTCTGTTTAAGAACCAATTCCTACTATTAGAAACTGTCGTATTACCAGCCTATTTTTGTGACATTGGCTGTTTATTAGTATTTAAAGTATGATCTTATTCTACATCCCTAATCCAAGTCAATACCTAAAGCCAACTACTACCCTACTAACTATTAATAAGCAGTAAAGTACTACTTTACAGAGCTAAAATTCTTACTCAAAGACTGGTTAACAACAAGCATTGTACATTAAAATAAAGTGTGACCAACTTAACGGTCTCAAAGAAACAGCTTAAAGGAAGTCATACAATGTGTCTGACTTGGTAGCTACTTGTCAATTACTAGTCCTTATTTAAAGGTTCATTTGGATTATTCCAATAATACCGATCAGAAACAATCTTTCAACAATAGATATCGGATTTTTTTAGGTAACACTACAATCAGGTTGAATTAGTTAAATGTTAGTTAATGGATTTACTAAGATGGACAAACAATAAACAAAACATTTATTACAGTATTTATTCATGTTAGTTACTGAAAACAGTCATTCACTGTTAGTTCATTAGTTTATTATCATTTTATGTACGTAAATAAATTAACATTAACCAATGAAACCTTACTGCAAAGTGTGACAGAATTATATAATGTTGACTACAAACATAATTCCATTTTTTATGCAGAAACATCAACAAAAATATGTGCTAGTTGGATAGAATGATAGATATAACGATGGATGGATGGATGGATGGATGGATGGATAGATGGATAGATGGATAGATGGATAGATGGATAGATGGATAGATAGATAGATAGATAGATAGATAGATAGATAGATAGATAGATAGATAGATAGATAGATAGATAGATAGATAGATAAATAGATAGATAGATAGATCGATCGATCGATCTTACATTGTTGTTTGTTTCCCAAAGATGGCGTCGAAGTCCTCGTCCAGATGCATCCTGCTGCTCATGGTGCGGGGAATATCAGTCATGTGGCGGTAAAACTTGGAAAATATCTCATCGTCCAATCGCATCACTTCCTTTACAGCTTTTTCAGTGACCGTCAGAGTAGTCTCCTGCAAACCTGACACTGAGAGGAAGAAAAAAATGAGAAAATAAATTAAGATGGTATAATTAAAAGTAAACCATCAAGACGGTCACATAATTCTTAAAGACACCAAATGATCATTACTCTCACCTATAAAACGGACTCATCCTCCTATAAAAAAAGGTCAAAGGAATTAATATACATACATTAATTGAATACATAAACGGACTTACCTTTGCTGTTCAAACGTCCTAAAAAGGTCTCCAGCTTTTCCAGCTTTTTATCAGACTCCATTTCTGCCCTGGCCTCGATTTCTGCAGCACATCAGGTTTTGCCCCAGTTATCATGGTGCAACAACATTGCGTCTTTCTAAAGAGGAGTGTCTTTTTTGAAGCAGTGTGTGTGCTTGTTTAATGTACCTTCCTGTGGTTTAGAGATGCCTGGCAAACTGCTCTTTAGTTTAGCAGAGACCGGGGAAAGAATTGGGCTGATCACTGCAGAGGACGCAGCCAGACCTGACAGAAAGATTAAAATAAATAAATAAATAATAAAAAAGATATAGTGTTATATTATAGGAGTTGAGATTTTTTTCATTATACAAGCAGTATGTACTATTAAGTCTCTTTTTTTCTGATAAAAAAGCATGTAAAATAATAGTTTAGATTTTGATATATAACAAACATGCAAAGTAATAATAATGTTTTGCTTTTTTTTTTTTTAAATGGTTTGTAATTTTTATCATTCATTAATTTTTCTTCAGCTTAGTCCCTCATTTATCAGGGGTCGCCACAGCGGAATGAACTGCCAACTTATCCAGTACACGTTTCCTTTTTTAGGGAGAACAAGCAAACTTTACACAGAAATGCCAACTGGCACAGCCGGGACTTGAACCAACGACCTTCTTGCTGTGAGGCGACGGTGCTAACCACTGAGACACGGTAGCAACTTTATTACTATACTTGAATTTACTGCCATCCTTGATTTTGTCCTTTTTTTGCTTTTGTTTGTTTTTATGTTTATTAAAACCAATAAACAAATAATTATGAAGAAAAAATTAAATCAAAATGGTTTGTATTATAGTGTAGATTTATTAATAATAACTGTAAGCATCACAGATTTAGATTGTTTTTAACTAATAGGAACATTGTGTATTATAATTGTGATTATTTATAATAATATGAGAAACATTATAGCTTATGATTAAATACAAGATTGTGCATAGTTTGATAGATTTTATGATAAGAATAGTATGTAATATAATAGTTTCTTTTTTTATTTAATACATATGCACAGTTTTACATTTTTTATATAAAAACAGCTTGTATAATAGTGTTGATTTATTATTTAATAACAGCGAGTATTACAGATTTGATTATCTTTATTAAGAACATCATTATAATTACATTATTATTATTACATACAGCTTTTTATAGCTTTTTTATAGCTTTTTTTTAGAATGGTAAATAATATAAGAGTTTAGCTTTTGTTATATGATAAATACACACAGTAATAATAACGTTTTACATTATATAATATAAATGGCTTTATTATAGTGTAGATTTTTTAATAATAAAAGTATTACAGATTTGGTATCTTTAACTAATAAGAACATTATGTTTTATAATCATGATTATAATAAGAAGAACAGTATTATTATAGCTTTTTATTAAACAAAAGAGTGTGCATAGTTTTACTGATAAGAATAGCATGTAATATAATTGTTTAGATTTTAATATAAAATACATATGCAAAGTAATCATAATGTTTTTTAACTACAAATGGTTTGTATTATAGTGTAGATTTTGTAATAATAACAACAGTAAGCATTAAACATTAGATTATATTTCAATAACAAGAACGTTGTTTTATAAGTGTAATTATTTATTATAATATATTAATATTATAATAATATTATAGCTTTAGTATTAAATACAAGAGCATGCATAGCCCTTTTAAAAATAATAATAGTATGCATTATTATTTAAAAAAATTATAATTATTATTATTATTTAAAAAAATATTTAAAACAGTATATATAGTATTATCGTTTTGATGCTTTTACTTATTAATTTACTAAATTCATTGATATTTTTTGGAAAGATGAAAATATGAGTTTTTAAAGGATGTTTTAAATGCAATGCATCTCTACATGGAATAACTGGAATTAGTCAATAACAACATAAAAGTAAATTAAAAAGTAATTATTAATATTAATTTTAAATCAGTGGGCAACGCAGTGGCGTAGTAGGTAGTGCTGTCGCCTCACTGCAAGAAGGTCACTGGGTCGAACCTCGGCTCAGCTGGCGTTTCTGTGTGGAGTTTGCATGTTCTCCCTGAGTTCGCATTGGTTTTCTTCCGGGTGCTCCGGTTTCTCCCACAGTCCAAAGACATGTGGTACAGGTGAATTGGGTAGGCTAAATTGTCCATACTGTATGAGTGTGCGTGAATGTGTGTGTGGATGTTTCCCAGAGATGGGCTGCGTAAAAACTTGCTGGATAAGTTGGCGGTTCATTCAGCTGTGGCGACCCTGGATTAATTAAGGGACTAAGCCGACAAGAAAATGAATGAATGAATAAATGAATGAATGAATGAATAAATGAATAAATGAATGAATGAATGAATGAATGAACGAATGAATGAATGAATGAAGTCAAAGCAGCCACCATGTAATACATGATTTTGTGTAAATTGTCAAACAAATGCAATATTTAAATTAACTTTGTCAGTTTAAATTGCTCATTTGTGAATTGATTTAGCTATACAAATATCAAGTTTCCTTTTTCTGTGCTCAATAACCAAGTATTTAATAATTGTATCTAATAATAAAGCATTTGTTTGCATGATCTCACCTTTTTTCACCATCCTGGCAGCCACAGTGTACTGTGCGGAGTCATTGGCCACGCCCTTTCCTGTGCACTGCCACGCCTCCTCTCGGGTGGAGATCATCTGCTTCCTCTCTTCAATGGACATCTGACCCTCACCCTCTTCAAGTTTCTGATCATGCAAACACAGATTTTACAGTTATAGATCACACTCATTCATTTAGAAAACAGAAAACACCAAATGAAGAGACTATGTCATCCGCAATGCATATGGTTTAATCAAAATCAAAATCTTTCACAATAAATTTGAAGATGACTTCACTGTGCATGTTAAAAGCTTTCCACTAAAAATGCAATAATCGTCACTCAAATTGCACTGAAAAATGTGCCCAGGGCTACATTTTTGAGAATCGACAAGTGTGTATTGTACCATGGAGTGTTGTCTTGCAGTTTTAGTTTCCACAAATCCACTAGAGGGCGCCATGTACATTTTTGACAATCTCAAATACGTTACAGGGGCAACTTTTCGCATTTGTGCCGAAATTCACTGGATGGCACTGCATACATTTCTGTAAATATTAACATCCTTCTTGCATGCATCCGTGAGAGAAGCCGGTTGGCTTGTCGTTGTGCATTTTATATCAGCAAGATATCAACTGACCCACACACCCCATTCCTTAAACCCAACCAATGATATTTTCAAACACAACTAGAAGAGAAATGGCAATGGGTTTTGTTTTTCCTTGTTTCTGAAACCGTCCTTCGCTGAACTCAAACGCTGGTCCACCTTCCTAGTCTGGTG